ATTTGATTAAAAAAAATTATTGTTATTTGGATATTTAATTTTTAGGGAGAAATATGATTTTTTTTACACAAAAATAAAAAGAGGAGAATTTATAATTTTTAAAATAAAAAAATCACAAAAAACATGTTTTTATTGGCAAGTTGACCAATGGGTTAGCTGAATTACAACCCTATTGAATGAGAGTTATATCAACTCACCCCATCAAACTCACAATTCATTGCATGCCAACCCACAGGTTATGAGTTGGCCCACATCACTCACCCTATTGTAAGGCCTATTATATAATCATATAAATTATATTATAGGTCATCTGCGTGTTGCTCAAAAATATTAATCCACTCAATTTAAGATGAATGAAGGGGAGGATTATTTTTAATCTTTCAATATGTAATCCTTATTTTTTAAAAAGTGTCTCTATTAAATTAATCACTTTATATTTATTTTAAGGTAAAATTTTTTATTAAATAAGAGTAAATATAAAAAGATAGAATTAATTTAAAAATAAATAACTACTTTATTGAAGGCGAGATTCAGTTAAAAATATCTTACATTTTTTAATGAAGGGAGAATATACACACACATGTTATTTTAATCTTGTGACCTAAAGATATGAAAGCTCTGATAAATGAAAAATTGTAAGTTTAATGTAGCTTTTAATCTCAAAACCATACATTCATGTTCCTCTAAATCAAAATAAAAAGTTGATAGCTAATTTTAAACAACATAAATTTTTAAAAAAATATGTTAACATAATATCATAAAAAATAAAAATAAGTAAAAATACAAATTAAATTTAAAAAATAAATTATAAAAATATTATTTAATTAATTTAAATTTAAATATTAAAAAATTATAGATTGTCGTCATCAGTCAAATTACAATTTACAAAGGAAAGAGGATCATATACTGGCACTGGGCCATCCCCTTTTTTTTTTTTTTTTAAATGGCTGTTATCTCCGTGTCCCTTTTATTTTCCTCCGATTTGTGTGTGTCCGTCTAAGGAATTCCACTTATTAGTTTCTTTGGGTTTTATGTATAATCGTTTTATTCTAGTGATATTATCTCTTTCATAAAAAAATGAGACCTTTTTTTATTAGCTAAAGTATATATTTAATTTTTTAACCTTACACATTATTTCATTTTAGTTCTTTAAATCTATAAAGTGTTTTTTTTAGTCCTTTAACAGTAATATTATTAGTTTTATCCCAACAAATTTTTATATTTAAGTTTTAAATATTAACAAAATATTTTCAAATATTGACATATTTAAGTTTAATTTTTTTAAAATGATAAAGTTTAATACAAAAAATAATCATCTGAAACTAACAATGTTAGGGTTAAAAGATTAAAAAGATATTTTATAAAATTAAAGAACTAAATTGCAATCTCATATAAAGTTAAAAGACTAAATATATATTTTAGCTTTTTTTATTTAGTGATACTTGACTCAATACGAGACATCGTTTGGTCCATTAATTGAATTTTATCATTTCACCCCTTTTTGAAATATTAGATTTGAATAAATATAAGAAAGAAAATACATCATACATTAAGAAAAATTCAATTTATTATAGAGGGAGGCTAATATTTACTAGGGACAAATGTGTAACAGTAACAATTCTTCGGCACAAGTTTAAAGAATAAAACAAACTTTGCATGAAGCGGTCGCCAATATCTAATGTGAAAGGAGGGTGATACAATGGAAGCATGTTTGAAAAATAGCATGTGAATCATGCTTTGTCACACCCTATGTCCCTGACAAATGATTTTGTTGATTGTTGATTTAGTGAAGCATCAAATCAGTCCAATTTCCAGGCCATGAGCTATTTTTTAATTCATCCGGTTTGATTGATTAGTTTCGTTCAATTTTAAAATTACAAAAAGCAATTGTAATTCTTAATTGTTGTGCCACGCGAATAAGTTATAATTAAAGATAATATAATTGATTTTACCCCAAAAAAAATTCAACTGACCACGTGGAATAAAACTATTGGAAATAAAAGATAGATTTTACTTTTAATCTTTGTAATTTATTTTCAGTGTTTTAATCCTCATAATATAGTCCATTTAATTTAATATCATTAAGAATTTAAATAACAAACATCATTCAATCTTGTGTTAAAACTATAGATATCAAAAACATAAAAAAAGTACAAGGATTAAAAGATGAAACTATATATATCAATGATTATATTTTTCCTTAATTTAACATCATCGATACTCAAATTATTCAGCTTTGCTGCTTAACTGGATTCGGTTATTATTAACGAAGTCGTTCTTATCTCTAATCAACGTGAAGCATGGTCTTTGATGGTGGGAAAAGTCTAAATGAATTCACAAGGTGATGAGATTCCTACTTAACCAAACATAAAAAATTAGGCAAAAATGACTACGGTGGATAATATCATAATGTGTGTGTGAACAGAAAATTCAAAACTATAGATACCGAAAAGTACAAGGACTAAAAGATAAAATTATAAGTATCAATGATTATGCTTTCTTTTTAATTGAACGTCATCGGATACTCAAATTATTCAGCTTCGCTGCTTAACTGGATTAACGAAGTCGTTCTTATCTCTAAGCAACGTGAAGCATGGGCTATGACGGTGGGAAAAGTCTAAATTAATTGACAAGGTGATGAGATTCCTACCTAACCAAACATAAAAAATTTAGGCAAAAATGAATATGGTGGATAACATCATAATGTGTGTGTGAAAACAGAAAATTCAAAACTACTATGTGGATGGAGAATAACTTGACTGAGATAAAGCCAAGTCAATAATGTGGCAGCTTCGCGTTCATTAAATTAATGGGAGGACAAGTGAAAATGGATGCAAGATATACCAAATCTTGTTATCTAAGAAACTTAATCATACCAAGCACGATTAACCCAAGCAGTACAGGACACAAATAAGTCTTCTAAAGTTTCAAGATCATTCCTACACACCAATGATTTTACAACTGGATTGAATTGGACGGTTGGACCATCGACCAGAACCATTAATGGCTCAGTTTGAACAAACAAATTATTTTTATAATTGTGCCAAATTGGATCAGAGTTGAGCCACTATTGAGTTAAAAATTGGAGTTGAAAAAGAAACCAAAGTAGTTTTTAAAAAACCAAACAGTTTTAAACATATATTAAAAAAGCTTAAAAATTAAAAAAATTTAAAATTAGATACTATTTTTGGACAATTCACATATACTTTTGAGTTTACTTATAACTAATTTTAGATATATGTAAAATTAGATATTAAATTTGATTTGAGACTATTTTTTATAAAGATGTTGATGATTATATATGTAAATACATATACTTTTGAATCTACTTATATTTAATTTAATCAAGATTCACTTTTATTTGGAAGTTATAAAATTATAATTTATAATATTATTAATTTATAGTTATATTATATCATTTTATTAGAATAGTATAGATTTTTATTCTTGTATTTATTATATATAGACACACACACACACACATTTAATATTACTTTTATTTAATTATTACGTCATCGGTTTGACCATTGATCCAACCATGCGAATCGTGAACTGCTGGCCTTTTTGATTCAATATCTAGTTCAATTTTAAAAACATTGTTACACATGGAGCATAGAGTTTCATGTCTACAATGCTGTTTAAATAGTGCATCACTTGTGCCTAAAGATGAATTTAATAGTCTCCATGTAGCAAAAACTTGAGGTTGACTTGACTCCAATTTATACAATGCTTATAGCATCAGGCGTCAAGCACTTCATTGCACAAGTTTTACAACTTGACTCGCGATCAATCTCTCCAATATATCTGCTCTTCTCTTTGAACATTTCCCCAAGTTCAATAATCAAAAGCATCATCAGGTTAGTTTTTATGTCTCTTTCCAATTTTCGTTTCTTTAGTATGCAGTTTGTACTACATAATTTCTGTATATAAGAGCATGAGAGTGAGAGGCGTTGGGAACTCAAACGTGCGCAAGTTTCTCACTAAACAAATCTGCTATATATTTCCTTTTCCCTATTCTCATGGCTTTTGATGGACTCACTGTTATATATATTGTCTTCAAGGTCTTGTGATTTTATTAATTTGAGGAAGCATGGATAATTGGAGATTAACTGGTTCTATGATCTACACTTTTCTCTAATTTCCTGAAATTCAATGAAAGCACCTTATGTTAATTATGTCTTTCTTTTACCTTCTCTTTTTCATTCACATATTATTATTTCCTTCATTTGTTAGGAGCACAAATTAAATTAAAGGACGACATTTTCAATCAATAAAAACATCTTATATATATATATATATATATATATATTGTGCCAAGCTCTTGCAGATTAAAAGAATGGGTACAGAAGGTGCTGCTCCATGGTCAGTACTAAGAAAAGATGATGAACAAAGATCCTTGTTAAACTCTTTGGAAGCCACGTCATCAGAAAGAATAATAGACCCTTGTATCTATAGAGTGCCACCGATACTTCGCAAAATGAATGAAGAAGCCTACACTCCTTCCCTAGTTTCCATTGGTCCCTTTCACCGTGGAAACGAAACTCTGAAGCCGACGCAACATCTCAAGTTCTCTTACTCCAACAAATTTCTCATGAGGACTCGTCAACAGAATTCAGTAGATGATTATGCTAGAGCCGTGAGAGATTGGGAAGATGAGATTCGACGTCGTTATTACGAGTCAATACCAATGGGGAGAGATGAATTTGTAGAAATGATTCTAATGGATGGGTGTTTCATCATTGAGTTGTTTGTTTCGGTCTTTCTAGAAATTACAAGTAAATCAAATGGAGGCACCTATTTCTGACGAAACGATGGCCAGTAGGATTTGATATAATGCGAGACTTGATTTTACTTGAAAATCAGATACCATTCTTTGTTCTTGAAGGCCTATTCAACCTAGCTTTTCCCAACGGCTTAAATGACAAAATCTCATTTCATGAGCTTGCCTTCGAGAATTTATCCCTTCCTTCAAGCCAACTATATATTCTCCAAACAGCAAAATGTGTAAGAAGTTCAGCTACAGCTATTTTGTAGATCATCACCTGACACTGCCTAATGGTGATAGGTTGCAAGTGGAACACCTCTGTGATATGTTAAGGGCCTTTTACGTGCCAAGTAATCCTCCAACAATAGTAAGAGGCTCAAATCATAAAGTGAAATGTTCATGTACTGCAAATCAACTACATGAGGCAGGACTGAAATTTGAAGTTCATCAAGATAGAGGCATATTCGAGCTGGAATGTTCAGAGGGAGTCTTCAAAATGCCACTTATTCGGATTAATGTAATGACTGAGATTATGCTCCGAAATTTGGTTGCGTTTGAGCAGTGTCATCACAATTTTGAGAAGTATTATGTTACTAACCACATGTTCCTCTTGTATAATCTTATCAAAACTGGAAAGGACGTCGAAATTCTTGTTGAAAAGGGAATCATGGAGAACTTTTTGGGGGACAATAATGATGTGGCTACCATGATTATCAAACTTTCCCAACAAGTTGTGTTTGCAGGCATCAATACTAATTATGGCAATCTATATGTAAAGCTGGATGTATAATAACCCTTACCACAAGTACAAGGCAAACTTCGTGCGTGAATACTGGAGCACTCCTTGGAAAAGAGTATCTTTGTTTGGTGGAATTCTGCTACTTTCGCTCACTTTGATCCAGACAATATGTTCTATCATCTCCTTATTTAAGAAGTAGCTCAAAATCAATGCCCATGTATAACTTTCAATCTTCGTTACTGCTTTCTCTGATAATTAGCTCTCTATACTTGATGGATCATTGATGGATGCATGTATGCCACCTTTAATTTCTTATATAATTTCTTTCTCTTTTGTTTATAGCATCCATTTTTTATTGATGGATCACTTGTGTACATGTTGTGGACTATCATATTAAGGAATGATCTGCGGCTAATCTTTTTCACATGATTGAATTCCTCTTCAGCAAAATTTCAAAAGCAATTTAAGTGAGCTGGTAAGATCAAGTTGAAGTGAAAATAGAAATCATTATCATAGTTTTGTATAATTAAAAGATTTATAATTCCTCGGAAACAGAAGCAAAATGAAAGCTGGCATAAAAGTTTTCTAGAAGAACTAAATTTTACAAGAAGATGCAAGACTTTTTTCCCATAGACCAAAAATTTCAAAGAAAATATATTAAAAAAACATGCCCAAAAAATGAAAACGACTTAATTCTTATCATCATCAATTGCGGACTCAAGAAAACGTCCGTTCAGCAATTCTGCTGCGGCCTCAAGCCATTGATGAGTGGGATAGAATGATCAACATCTAGGATGAGGGACATGTTTGGACAACCCTCAAAAGTATATTCAAACTACATTTGAGATTTATTTGTTTTTGCCAAATAGTTGGATCTTCCAAATAAACTTTTATTAGGTCTAAACTGAAAACCAAACATATATTTAAATTACATGGGAGAGGATACCAACTAGGGCAACGAAGAAGTAGTGGGGACCAAGGAAATATTGGCAGGAAAAGAAAGAAAAATGAGGGAGGCAAAATTTGAAACAGCACTTGTAGTATAGATCAAAAAATCTGTAGTCCCCATCGCAAATGTGTTGCGGAAGAAAAAAACAATGGCAGGGAGGCAAAATAATTGGAAGCAATCCAACATTAGAGAGCAAAATGGAGGGCAGTTTCGGCAATTTACTGTGCAAGTCATGTGGAGGGTATTTGATAAAGGAAGGAGACTCGAGGGCATTTTGGGCTAAGAAATTCTATTGTTCATGTACTGTTCAAGTGTTTATCTAAAATCGAGAGAGATAATTGATGATTTTTTTCCCACTAAAAAAACAAAAAGAAAAGGTTCAAAAGCACTTTTCAACCGACTGCGCTTCTCAATAGATTTGTTATCAACAAGCTATGAGTTGCAATATGATTATATGAAGCTGCAGCAAATTCGTGATTCCCAAAGCTTGAAGCCATTATTGTTCCCTTCCTTTGTATTTATGCATTGTGATTTTTCTTGGTGTATTCTTCGCAATGCCCATTATATAATCATATAAATTATATTTTATATCATTCATGCGATGCACATAAATATTAATTCGCTCAACTTAAAATGAATGGAGGGAAGGAGAGAAGAAGAATTATTTTAATAAATTCATTTTTAAAAAGGATACATGAAAATAATATTATTTTAATCTTGCAACCTAGAGATGTGAAAGCTCTCATAAATGGAAAATTGTAAGTTTGATGTGGCTTGTTATCTCATACCATAAATTTTAAACAACACAAATTTAAAAAAAAATGTTAACATAATATCATAAAATTTAAAAATAAAAATTAAAAAAAAAATAAATAAAATAAATTATAAAAATATAATTTAATTAATTTAAATTTAAATTTTTAAAAATTATAAGTTGTAATCACGAGTCAAATTACAAAGGAAACGGGATTATATAATAGCCCCCCCCCCCCCTTCTCTCATGGTTGTTACCTCTATGTGCCTTTTATTTTCCTGTGGTTTGTGTGTATGTTGGTCCAAGGAATTCTACTTATTAGTTTCCTTAGGTTTTATGTATAATCGTTTTATTTTAGTGATATTACTTCTTTTATTTTAAAAAAGCCAGAGACGTTTTTTTAAAATTATTTTAGTGATACTTGACTCAAAAGTACAAGACATTGTTTGGTTCATTAATTGATTTTTTTTTTCAATTTTCATGACTTGTTGAAATATGATATTTGAGTAAATATAAGATAGACGTTACATATGCATTAAGAAAAATTCAATTTATTATAGAGGGAGGCTAATATTTAATAGGGACAAATGATAACAATTCTTTGGCACAAATTTAAAGAATAAAATAAACTTTAAATTTCTTAATATGCGTGTGTATGAAGTAGTTACCAATATTTAATGTGAAAGGAGGGTGATACAATGGAAGCATGTTTGAACAATCGCATGTGAATATGTGATGCTTTGTCATACCCTAACAAATTATTTTGTTGTTGTTGAATTAGTTTAGAATCAAAATCAATCCAATTTCCGGGCCTTAGTTCAACCGGTTTGATTGATCAGTTTAGTTTGATTTTTAAATTATTTTATGCCAACTTAAATTCATGTTTCTAATGTTTTTTTGTTTAAAGACCTAATTTATATCTAAACCTTTTTTTTTTTTTGGAGTGCAATGCTCTAGGCACCCTTATCCTATAATAAAAATGCACCCTTATCCTATAATAAAAATGTGAGGCAATATTTTTCTAAACAATTCTTTAAGAAGCAATATTGCTCCTTTGTTTCATTAATTTGAGCATTAATTTATTTAAAAAAATTATAGAGAAAGACCTAAAAATTTATAGAAAAGAAAATAAAAAATTATATAAAAAGACTTTTATAAGAAACTCACTACTGATTAAGTCTCTTAAATTATAAATAAATTTCAATGGATTGATATTATTTTTTATTCATATAAAAGATTAAAATATTATTTTATCCAATCATTTTAATCGATTATTAGCTAATTATCATATTACCATCGCTAACAACAACACAGATAAGTAATTAAAAATATTATTGTTTAAAAAATAACATTTTATTAAAATGTTACTAATTTAGCATTTGATCATTTATATTATTATTATTATTTACAAATGTTCACACATAATTTACGAGTCAACTTTTAATATATACAAATTTATGAAGGTGGATATATTGATTTTGGAAGAAGACTTATAATTTAGCATATTATTTCAATTCACACATCACCTATAAATTAAAAAAAAACTAGATAAGGTTATTAATATTTAAAAGATAATTTATAAATTTTGGATAAATATTTATAAATACTAATATTTAAATTATTAAATATTTAATATTTTAACAATATTTTATTAAAACAAATATAATATCTTTTTAATTACTTATTGATAGTTCAGCATTGGTGTTTCAATAATTGTAACATCCTAGAAAATTAAACCTCCAATAATCAAATAATTAAGGAAAATTAAATAGGATTTGTTATGATGTGTAATCAGAGAGGGCAAATGAGTGTTTTGATTGTGTTTTCAGTCATAAAATTGGTCTCAGAGTGAAATTTGGTCACTTATGCATTAAAAGTAGAGATAAGAAAGGAGAGAAGCCTCTGTGTTACATGTTGTGGTGCGCATGTGGCATTCCGCGGTACGCAGGGCTAGAAAATATGAAGTAATCTCCTTTGTACTATATGCCACGATGTGTGTGTCATACGCCATTGCATATGGCCTATTTTTTTTATAAAATAAGTCTCTCATTAAACTAGAAAAATAGGGAAAAGAAAAGAGAAAATGAGCAAGGGAGAAGAGAAAACTTGAGCTCTACTAGGGCATGACTCTGGGAAGAATTGAGAGGATTTAAAGCTCCCAATCATTTGGTTGGAGTTTGCATAAGGAGAGGAGTAGATAAAATCTATATGGTATTGTATAGCTACCTTTCGGTGTACAAAGGCTAGTATTGTCCCACTGTTTGTCAAAGGATTGTCCCATAATTTATCAAGGGATTTAAACCTAACTAACTCTACCTATTTGTTGAAGAGACTAGCTTAGGGTTTACGATACCCTAAGGATTTGAGAATAGGGAAAGTTATGGTCTGAGAGTCAATGTAGTGATCTTTAGCTAGGTCACTCCTCACAATTAGTAAGCTGGGTAATCCAATTACATGGATGGAGCCCTAATCTAATACGATAGCCAATAGTTCAATTAGAGGAAATAAGGAAGTTATAAGGAGAAATTGATCAGGCATATTTTATTTGACTTTTCACATGGTTATTAAGTTTGTGGCAAGTCGAGATAATATTGTGCTATTGTCACATGGTTGTCAATATTATGGCAACATGCATCTTGACTATAGATTAGGCTATTGTCACATGGTAGTTTATATTGTGACAAAATGCCTTGTTTTTGATTTTGTGAAAAACAAGATTAAACTAAGTTGTGAAATTATAGTACAAGTGATAGCATATATAGTTTTATTAAATGATCATTTATATGTTAAATTGTCAATTGATATGTAATTGTATAGGATAAATATACTTGTTATTAAATGTTATATTCACCCTTCTCTTTCAATATTTTACAAGCTGTGGATGGGTGTATAGAAAGGGAAAAGGCTCTAGAGGCTTAGAAATCTAGGATTCCTATTGTTAAAACCTCTAATCTCCTTTATTTTGTGTAATAGTTAGTATATTGCCAATAGAAAATATAGTTTTTGGTTACACTCGCACTATATATTAAAATTGTGATTAAATGGTTGTATTTTAAGCCCTAATGTCATTGCAATAGTGTTTGAATGATTTTTATAGGCTTAAAATACTAGTGTAAGTGTAGAAAATATGATTATATTATTGTAATTGAGATTAAATGATTTATGCAATACTAAAACTCTCCCTTTGTTTTTGATTTTAAAGGAGTTGAGGAGTAAAAAATTGAGAATTGTTGAGATTAGATGCGTGCGGTATGTTGTAAAGGTAATCTTAAGCTTATTGAGTGTGTTCTAAGGGTTAGGAGTAGCTTTTGGCAGATTTGTGGGGTTTTAGAGACCCTTGAGTTGTGA